GAGTTCTTTGCTAAAACAGCTGTATCAAACAAGAGGTGGAACATGAAACAAATAACAAAATGCTTGATAAGAGTTTCTCTTTGGGAAAAGTGTAATGACGTCCCAGCAGCCTGGTTTCCAGGGAGGAAAACAGCCACTTTATTTTCTGTCTGAATGCTTACTCTGACAGCATCCATGTATTTTCCAAGGGAACTGACTGATACGATATCCCCACCTGCACAGGAAGTTTAGCTATGTTTCGGAGCAGCGCAGATGTCTCCTTCAAGCTGCTATTTATTCCTTCTGCTAGACTATATTGAGACAGGTCAGACAAGTGCTTCAGGAAGAGGTCTCTGGAGAAAACTTAGTTGCTGCAGCACTGACCCATTGGCATCAATAGCATTTTTCTCACAGGAGTGGTTCTGCAGACTTGAATGAGACTGTCCGTCTGATTGGGGCTTTTCTGATATGGAATCAGTAACTCAGCATGGTGAGGAAGTCAGAGGTTGTTTTCCTGGTAATTAGTAGCAAATTATTTTTTGACTCTTTTCACTGATTTTTAGTTTGTGAAATGGTGACCTGCAATCATGACCTTCTCCCAAGCTATGACATTATGTAAAATTGTTTATAAACCATCTGAATATTTGCTATTTGTGCAGTAGTGGTCACTCTTGACTGGACGTGGTTTCCCTCCCTGACTAGACAGGTATAGTCTTTCAAATCTATTTTCCAACAGAAACGCTCTTATTTATTAAAGCATTGTTTGTTTTTTGGCATACCCAATAGTACTCAGTAAGGATTCACTATTTCCATGAAGAGATCTGCCAGCAAAAAGCTCTTTTCTTGCAATATTATGGAAAGTAGACATGGAGAAAGGGGATATAATGCAAATTCATTGGTCAGTTTGAGCAAATAACTGGGGTGAAACAGTTTTGCTTCTTAGTTTAGGATTTTATTTACCTTGGATCTATTTAGTTGACATTTTTCTGCATTTACCCAGCTTTACATGAAAACCATGGTCCTAGCCATTTGCAGTTAGGGTATTTCTTTCTCTGTGCAAAGGAATGAGTCCTGTGCCAGCTAATCTGGAGTCCCAATGAGAGCAGTGTGCTCTGAAGACTGAGTTCAAGGTTGACAGCCAGAGTCTAATGTTGCCAAGTCCCCTGCAGAGAGAGACTTTTGGGGATCCTGTTAAACATCAGCCACCTTTTTGAGAGTTAAGGTGATTTCCTGTCTTCTGATAGAGCTCATGCCATCTCTGAGCCTGCTGGGTCTTCCTTTTTGGTAATCATCCATGCTGCAGCATGTAAATACTGTGGAGTAGAATTGAGTTTTGCCTTTGTAATATACCTGACAGCACCTAATGTCTGCTATTTAAAACTATGATTAGCGAGGAAATAGAACATCTAGGCATCATTAAGGTGAGTGTTTTCAGGAGCAAAGTAGCAACTTCTCCACATAACTGCAGGTAAATTATGTAGTTCTTTTCAAAGGGTGGGCTTTTTAAATTTTTTTTAGAGTAGAAACAAATTAAGACCTGTTCAGGTTCCTGACCCTTGCTCTTTGTAGTCTCATGCAACCAAGGCATAGATGTGCATCCTCAGGCAGAGGGGGGACTGTGCTGGATATCTCTCTGGTTGGGACAGCTGAGCATCCTGCTGTCCCTCTTTCAAGTAGGCCTTGCAAGCATGAAGTTCTGCAATGTGCAGCATGCTACACCTTCAAAATAGTGAAATCTCTTGATGTCTAGAAGGTGAGGGAAAGGAGAAGAGCAGCTCTACCCCTACAACCCAACACCTCCCATGCTCTTTC